ATGCCTCTGTGGACACGGTGAGAAAGGGGAGCTGGGAGCAGGAGGTCTGGGTTACAGAGGCCGGGGAAGGAGGGGATCGGGAGCCTGGGGTGCTTGTCAGTCAGTGTTCAAGAGAGTAGTGCAGTCAGGAAAGAAACGTGGACGGAGAACAGACCATGGAGCTGATATCTAGGAGTGCGTTGCTTCTGTCTAGGACAGTTTCAGTGGCCTATCTGGACAGAGAGTTTAGGAGGGAATGGGGTATAAGGAAGCAAGGTCAGTAGGTAAAGATCACATAGTTGGAGAAGACTGGCAGTGAAAAGGAGAGATGGATCAGTAGATAGTGGAAGATTCAGGATCAAAGAAGAGTTTTTAGCTCATGTCTGATGAGGTTGGAGCATTACTTGAGGCTAAGAGTTTGAGACCACCCTGAGCAGGAGCAAAATTCCATCTCTAAAAAAAAATTGAAAAATTAACTGTGGTGTGGTGTCTGCACCTGTAATCCCAGCTACTTGGGAGGCTGAGGCAAGAGGATCTCTTGAGCCCAGGAGTTTGAGGTTGCTGTGAGCTACGATGATGCCACTGCCCTCTAGCCCAGGTGACAGAGCAAGACCCTGTCTCAAAAACAACAACAGTAACAAAGAAGGTTTATCCCAGGAAGTGAAAAGTCACAAAGGGAGGGGTCTTTTGGCTTTATGCATAAGTGAAAGATAAATGTGTTCTTTAGTGAATACAAGTTGCTTAAGATATATATCATTTTTTCAAAGGCATTTTTATTATCATAATTAGGAATTAAGTTCAATTTAGAATTCTGATGTTTTCTTCCTTTGTTATTTTTCAGATAAGGCAAAAGAAAGTACTTTTATCTAGTAGAAAGAAAAGCTAGCTGATTTTGTGCTATAATATAAATTTTGCAAATTACTCTTCCCTACATACTCTCTTAGAAATGATTGTCATTTGAGTCCCTTGACTGTCTGCTTTATTTTCCCAGTTCAATATTCTTGGAAATCCTTGGTGTGTATCATTATATGATGTTTGTTTTGGGTAACTGTGTGAGAATGTTCTTATTTATTCATTACGTGTGCTACAAAGAAATTGACATGTTCAAATTTTTTTTTTTTTTTTTTT